TTTGCCACATCTGCTGAAGAGGGTCCTTGACAGTGGCCGAAATAGATATCTTTTAACTGTTCTTTTACTGTCTAGGTGGTTCCTCACTTTTCAAGAAGACTATAACTTTAGGCTACGTAATAAACACTGTAGAAAGGATAATGAAAAAAATCCTATGTTGAGTAGTCGATTATTGGAATTAGAGAAGAAATGTGTGCCAGAAAGACATTGGGAATTTAAACGATACGATAAATTTATTAGGGAATCGAACACCACGAGCATTAGTTCTCTTACTGTAGCTAAAAATAAGTAATTACACAGAAGACCGGATATAGCTAAATGATACACACGAGTCGAATGCACGAGTTGAAGCTGAGCCTTCACGTAAATTTCCCACAGATACGCAAGTGTTGGCACATGCAAGCATCGTGTTGCTGAGTGTCTGCTAGTGTCAGCCATCTCAGCCAGTGTCTGCCAGTTTCAGCCATCGCTGCCAGTTAGTGGTTTGCCTCCTGAGAATAGAAGTTGTGATTGGTTGAGGGGGGTCCCGCTGACGCCATCTGCGGAATAACCCGTGGAAAACTCTGAAGTGTCGGATACCCCAGTAAATCCCTTCTCGCTAAACTTAAAAATAAATTCGTTCTAACCGTCAAAAAGGGAGCCTGCGTTGTGGAGGGGTCTTGATTAAAAAATCTGTATCTACGTTTTTCCCCTTTCTTAAACCAGCTTGATTACAGCTTGCAGTATGGCGGACCTAGGCTCGAGGGCCGCGTGTAAGGAGTGAGTGTAATAAGAGGAGAAAAAAAGGGAAACGAAGTACACAGAGGAGCTGAATAGCTCCTCTGTGTATTTCTACTCTCTAACATGAAGCAGGATACGCCCGAAGGTACTAATTATATTTTATATATATATATATATATATATTATATATATAATATATATATATATATTATATATATATTATAATTAATAATTGTATATAATCTTTACGATTATGTACATAACGCGTAAAAAAAATTCTAATTTATTCGTTTATGATAATTCTTCTACTTCTGTATTTTATGTATTTTTTCCAGCAATCTAGGAATTAATATTTTTAGGTAATTTTTCGTCTTTTTGTAAATATGTTAATTGGTAAAGTTGAGAGTCTAGACATAAACCTATCCGGGTGGTGGCAGTGGGAGAATTGTAGTGGTGGTACCGAGGTTGGTGGAGGGTTGTGGTTGACGGGGGGGGGGGGATTTTTTTTCATTATATGCAGTTTTGTGCAGTTACCTTTAACCTACACCTCCACAATCCCTCCACCACCCATCACCAGGAAACCGGTTGTAAACACACACACACACACACACACACACACACACACACACACACACACACACCACACACACACACACACACACACACACAGCCAGGAGCTGTAACTCTGCCCCTGTAATCACATATACGTGAGTACACACGTCCAGTAAGCTTTTGGTTCCCTGCACGTGCACTTCATGGAAAGGAGGGGGAGTGAACTCATTGATCTCGGTAAAAGGGCTCTTGATATAAGGAAGTGGAGTTGTCGTTTTTGGAGGATTAAGCGCGATTTAAATTCCCCAAATGCTGTGTGTCCCCTTTGCGGTTAATTCTTCCCCGTGAATATAATATAGTAATTAATAAGTCAGCCACGGAATCGACCCAGGGAGATTTTGTTTTGCCCAGAACGCTCTTAATAATGGTGGCGGCTATCGTTGTGATAGATGCAGTAGTAAGTGTTGTGGTATTGGTAGAGGTGGTAGGTGGTGCGGATGATGTTGCTGGTTGAGGTGATGACAGGGCCAATGAGAGAGAGGCTCAGCTGGCACATTGGTCGGGGCCTGACTGTGAATCTCTGAAGGGGCCCCGTAGCCATAGACGTTTTATTTTGATTTTTCATTCGATTTTTTTGGTAATTTTAACTATTTTGAATTTATTAAGGGGGCCTCAGCTTGCCCCCAGAGGCCCCAAAGCAGTCTTGTTCCGCCTTGCAAATTTTCTTTTGGAGGACCTGGGTGGTGATGTGATTATTGTGGAAGGGGCGGGGCAGTTTGTATTTGCGATATTAAGAAAGTTATCAATGTGTGTATTACTCTCCCACGACTTCTGTTGACTGGCATCCTCCGCAACACTAAGAGAAATGAAAGTTTCATATGTTATTCCCAGTGGTGTTAACCCGAGATATGTTTATGGTAGTGGCCATAATATAAACTTTGGCAGTTGTACGTAGAAGAGGCAGGAAGCTGACAAATGGATGAAAAAAATGCATAAAACATCGCAAGCCTTTATTATAACAACGTTTTACTAATGTAAGCATTTTTCTTGTTTAACTTGATGGCGTTCCCGTGAGCGAAACGTCGTTATAATAAATAATTTCGCTGTTTTTTGTATTGGCCCGCTGTCTCTTTCACATATCTGTCCAGTCACTACAGTATAATGGAGGGTTTCAGTAGAGGATAAACCACTCCTCTCGTAAAAGTTTGCAATCTCCGGAACAATCACCACGTCCTTTATAGTGGTATTGAGATGGGGTTCCCTAGATCCAGTCCAGCACCTCCGCGGTTTGACTGCCCCCTTGCATCCTCCACTATGTACCTACCTCACCAAATGCGCCACCAGTTCCGAAGCCAAAATTGCTTTCTGGTGATCTCACCCATGCAGCAGCCCAGGTAACTTGGTCAAGGTTCTCGTCTCACGCTTTACTTGACCCCTCGGTGGGTTTTTTTCTGTATAGTTTGGTAAGGTTTCTGTTGAGCGAAACATTGTTTTAGCATAAACTTTTGCTGATTTATTTCTTTTCATCCATTAGTTTTTTGGAATATTTAAATTTTTTATATATATATCTCTTCACTGTTCATGGCGATTGTATTTAGTGATACTGCTACTACTACTTTTACTACTACTACTGCTACTACTACCACCACCGCCGCCGCCGCCGCCGCCGCCGCCGCCGCCGCCACCTTCACCATTCCCCCTCCCTTCTGTCCTGTGTTTTCTTGCTCGGTTGTGACTTGACAATAGAAGTTGAAGAGTAGGTAATTAAAGCTGTCAGAGAGAGAGAGAGAGAGAGAGAGAGAGAGAGAGAGGAACTAAATTCCTTACCCTCCACTCTCTTCCCTCATTCCTGTGATGTCTCCTTCATAACTGTGTTTTGTGGGTAATAAAACTCACGCCCCCTCCCCCTGACCTTTTGAAAGATGCAGTGGCGATAAGCATTTTTATATATGCTAATGTTTATGGTCCACAGTCGGGGATCATCGTAAACATGGCCAAAACATCCCATTATACTCATCCAGAAGAAATTATATTTAAATTTTCATACAACTTTTAATTCTGATAGTGCGATAATTCAGCTTAGGATAACTAATAAATCATATCTTTTTGTAATTTATCTTGAACTTTATTATAATTGCGTGTGTTTTGAGTGTTTTTTTGTGCAGTTTGTAGAACCAGTGGAGAGATTAAACCCTTAGAGACCGAATTTGAAACACTCAACCCTATGAATTTGAAGCCTTCCAGATTAGACAATGAACACCAAACCTGGAGCATTGAACACCAGAAGTGTTCAGTGGAAAGCCAACTCGGAATACACACCTGGGAAGGTAATTCGGCAGACTTAATACGAACCCGGGGAAGCGAACCTGGGACACTGAAACCGTAATAGGAACTCGGAGAAGTGAACCTAGGACACCGAAACCATAAAATGAACCCGGAGAAACGAACCTGGGGTACCGAAACTGTAATATGAGCCCAAAACACCGAATCCGTTATCATAACGAACCCGGGATACCGAACCCGTAATACGAACCTAGGACGCTTAAACCATACATGTGATAGGAACTTGGTATACCGAACAAGGAAACCCGAACCCGTAATAATGAACCCGGGATACCGAACCCGTGACGAACCCGGGATACCGAACCCGTAATTACGAACCCGGGACACTTAACCCAGGAAGACGAACGGCGTAATGAGGGACGGCGATAAAGCCTAACTTGGTGTCCTCTCGCGCGCCTCCCGTGTCCGGCCTGGTCTTATCTGAAGCCTTCTTTGTTACCTACTTACGTGCGTCTTGAGTGCCGGATCTGCTCAATAACCGAGGAATATTTTTGAACGACATTCCTTCCACTGGGCGGGCAGGCTGGGTTAAAAAAAAAAAATCGAAACTGGTCATGGTTATATTGATGCGTGTGCACTCAAAGCAGCGATATATCTTTGAATGTGTGTATCTCTCGGTATATATGCACTTTATAGTTTAATGCCTGCTTTTAAGGATTGTAGTACATTTGACTGGTGTACAGGTGACGTCTAGAATTAATGGTTCTTGTGTAGACAAATAGGCTTTAATCCTAATAAATCAGTTAATCCTCTTGCTGGGTGGATTTATAATGGAGATTTTGTTGCTGAAGGGGTATCTTCAGCAACATATATATATATATATATATATATATATATATATATATATATATATATATATATATATATATATATATATATTATATTATATTAATTTTAGCTTATAATCTAAAAATATTGTCATCTGAGTTCCCATAGTTGTCACTCAGTGTGAACACTGATTGTCTTGTCAACGTGCCACTCGGATTAACTTTGTGATATCCAGGATTGGAATATTTTTTGTACCTACCTGCTGAATAAATTTGCTCCAGATATTGGGGATGAAAGAAAAAAAAAAGCGGACCTTGTTAAGCAGGTTCTGAGGCTCCTGTTATGCAACACAGTCTGTCTCTCTCTCTCTCTCTCTCTCTCTCTCTCTCTCTCTCTCTCTCTCTCTCTCTCTCTTAAGATGAAGAAAACTTTTACCTGATCACCTATTTCTCAAGCACTTTATGATCCCTAAGAGTTTAGCGCTTCCCAGAAATAAAATATCATTATTATTATTGTTATTGCCATTAATATCGTCATTAGGTTATTGCTATTCCCATTATTTTTATCGATATTATTGATAATATAATATTATTATTAATTTTTCTCTACACCTGCAGGAGGATGAGGCTGGTGGTGTCATGTGTGCAGGTGTGGCTCCTGCTACACCTGCTGCTCCTCAGCCTGGGGCAGGTAAGTGCTTTAATTAGTCCCTGGGGCAGGTGTGTTGTTTAATTTGTTCCTGGGGCAGGTGAGTGCCCTAATTTGAGTAGTAAATCCTGACCTTAGGAACCTGAATGAACGAAAATACAAATACAAGAGCTTTAGGGAGCTTTATCAAACTTCATGAAAGCTCCAGTTGAACGTAACGTCGTTATAACAGTCTTACGCTCTTCCCTGTGTCTTTTCATTCACTTTTTGACTCTAAGCTGCTGTTTCTGAGGTTTATGGCATTTTATGAAGACGTTTCGCTCATCAGGACCTTTATGGACGAAACGTTTTCACCACAAAATGGGGTAAAGCGCAGCGTGTGTTTACATCCGGCAGCCTCTGGAGTTATCCGTCAACGGAAGAGATTAAGGAAAGAGAGGGGGGGGATTGTACAAGAGGAATGTACACGTACGTGGGTCAAGGGAGATGGGAAGTGAAATCTGGGGAACTTGGAGGAGAGAAGGAACAAGGGGAGACATGATTACGACGTACAAGATACTTGGAAGATTTGAGGGTGCAGGTAGGGATAGGTTATATGAAATGTGTGGTGCTGGGGGCAGGGGGCAGCGATGGAAACTAAGAAAAACACACACACAACACAACACATGATGAAGCTCTTAGAGAAGGGAGAGAGTGGACCTAGCAGTGACCAACGAAGAGGCGGGGCCAGGAACTGTGTATCGACCCCTGCAACCACAAACAGGTGAGTACACATGCAAGTCGTTCCCCACTAAAGTAATAATCGACTGTGAAAGGTATTAGACATTAATAAACGTCAAGACTTGAATCTGGACACTAGCCAGACACTGTGCCTTCATCAGGCACTCTCAGCTACACGCTCTCAGACGTGCTATAGCACAAACTCATGCTTTATGTTGACTTTATACGGCGCTGGCTGTTATTCTCCAGCAAGTGTATCAAGATGAACTGCCGGAGTTTCTGTAAGGAGCAATTCAGAGATAAGGGCTGTGAGGTGTTCAAGAGTGTCTCTTGCTAGCACTCAAGCTGGGAAGTGGCTAGGCGTGTGTATACACACACACCCTTGTGCGTATGTTCACGTGTATGAAATACGCACTTATTTGTAATACGGGTAAATCTTGCAAACTTTACTTGCATTCAGTTTGCACTTTCCTGTGTTTTCTCAATGGTTCTTATTTCAGTAATATTTCCTCTGCACTTTTCGAGGTGTGAGCCCCGGGAGGTGGAGGCACTGGTGGCCAGAATGACCTTGCCAAGAAGGTGCCTCCGTCCTGGTGCACTCGTTCAGAGAATTAGACCTGCCTCACCCTTCGTCGAATTAAGCCTAATTATTCCCTATTTCCCAAGCACTCTGTAACCCTTTCAGGTTTATCGTTTTAACTCGAACATAATAAAAATTGTTATAAAATTAATAAAAATAATTGTAAAATAAAAACTAGAACTGTTAACGAATATGCATACATGTGTATATACGTACATGTGTATATGTATACGTGCGTATACACACAAGCACTTGGCTAAAACTATCGTGGTTATGGACGGTTGAAAGGTGAGAAACTACGTGACCCCAAATACGAAAGACTTAAAAAGAGATTCATTTTGCTGAAGAGGGTCTCTGAGGCCGAAATATACAAATCTATTTTTGACCTGCGTTTCGTTTTCCAGTCCAAGTGGTTTCTCGCCTTGCATTTACACAGGTGCGGAAGCAGCTGTTCATACAACTGCTAGAAACTGTTCAGTTTACAAGGTAAACAGAGCAAGACGGTATTCATAGGTCGATTTCCTTAAATAGCTCTTCCGTACAGTCTAATCTTTCTTAAATGTGACTGAAAAAGTTAAACAGAATCGAGTCGCTCCTGGAAAGGCCTTCTCACTTCTGTTTTATTCTCGATGTGCTTATTTCACTTGCATTTATGAAAATTTGTAAATAAAAACTGATAATTGGTAATAAAAAAAACATTCCCACAGTGCTACCCACACACTTTCTCAACGTATATGTTGTTAAGTAGTGGAATGAACAATGGATAACAGATTCCAAACAGTGACGGTGGGAACATATGCCAGACCGTGTTATTTGAGTCCGGTTGATAGGAAATTACGAGGCGGCACTGGGGAGCCAGAACACTACCACAGGGATTGAGGAAATTACGAGGCGGCACTGGGGAGCCAGAACACTACCACAGGGATTGATGTTGGGACCGGTGCTGTTTCTGGTATGTGTGCGACATGTCGCAAGAAACAAATATTGTAAAAATATTGATAGAATTACCAATAATATGTTAGGTAAGAGGGCACATGAGCAGCTAATTGAGGCAGCGTTTCGTTCTCCCGGAGCTTTGTCAAGCCAGTACAAGCAAGACATAAATAAGATACGAGTGCAACAGTTTGGTATCTTTAATGACGAAACCTTTCGCCTGCTCAGCAGACTTTTTCAGTCGAAATACAGAGGAGACAGCAGAAATCGTAGAGTTGTAGATATGAGATGATCAGTCCCTCACCCTGGTGAAGTAAGTTTGAGAGAGTCAGTCCCATATCTTTGACGAACGTAATATAATATAAACATACATTGATACAGAGGGGTATATAAAGTGAAGATGGCGAGGGGAACGAAGTATAACTAATGCATTTTAATACCCCTGTCTGGATATATGGAAGTTGGTGAAAATTAACATCAGGGAAGACGGAGAGGATACAGTATGCAACGGAGATATTGCAAGGTTCGTCAGGAGGAAGAAAAAACTTCAGGAATTCATCCCCAATAAATGGAAGATTATGGAAATTGGGATGGGAGAAAAAAGAAAAGAGGAAATTGAGTGCAGACAGGGGAAAGACAAGGCTCTTAAACGTTTCTCGAGGAGGAGCTAGATGTTAGCATATTATTAAAATTGCCAGAGGCACACATGAATAAAATAACTTATGTTGCAAATGTGCCTTCGGCGGATCTAAGACTAACTTTTGGGAACTTCAGGAAGGTCGTTCACGACCTTATTTGGCTTAGAAAGACACGTAAGCAAACGGCAGGACATATTTATTTGAAAACGTTTCGGTCCTGGGATCTTTGACTTCTAACATACAGAGGTTAAAAAAAACAGTATATATATATAGGCAATATGTAGACAGCATATGTACTGTCTTTTTAACCCTTTTTAAGGTCCCAGGACCGAAACGTTTTCTAATAAATATGTCCTGCCGTTTGCTCACGTGTCTTTCTAAACCAACTTGTTGGTATCTATTACCAGGGTTTATACCACGACCTGATATACGACATGGCAGGCCCATCTTGGAGTACGCAGCTCCAGCATGGAGCCTCCACCTGATCAATCATGTTTCTTGACATGACCGTTGAGGTGCAGAAGTTTCCAATACGATTAGACCCAAAAGTAAGAAGAATTGGCTACTACGACTAAATGAACCGAGTCTATTAATATTATAAGAAAGAATGCCTGTGAGTAACGTGATTACAGGAAAGCTACGGCAAGATGGAGGGAGAGTGTATGAGGGGCGGGATACGTGAACAAGGAACTCAGTTGGAAGATTAATACACACAGACGAGGCACAAGTATGTCAGGAAATTCTTCTCCAGCCTCAGGATGTTCAGTAAGTGGAATGACCTGGATAAAGAAGTAGTGGAAGCAGACATGGCATGATGGGGCCCACGAGGGAGTCGTTCTCGTACGGCCACTAGAGAGGAAGGGTCAAGACCCGAAACTCGACCCCTGCAACAACACACAGGTGATCGCAGATATGTGGATAACACAGGCAGGAGTATTAGTACCTTGTTCCTTGCTGAGAGATCTTACTTAACCCACCCCACATACTTCATATCTCCCCCTCCCCCCACACACACACACACTTCATACTTTTCCCCCACACTTTTCTTCCCTCTGTAACTATATGATAGTTAAAAGTGGCAGCGAACGTAATGTATCCCTGTGGTATTCCATCACGCAGAATGGTGCGCATGCAAGGTGTTGAAATGTGTGAGTAAGAGCTGGGAGACTTCAGTAATGTCAGCCCACGGCGCCCCTACTTTCCACTGGGACTATTTTACACTGCCTCGCATATGTCTCATTCCAACATATTGTTATAAATTCATTATCAGGTATCTCTGTTCTCCCCTCCAATCAATAGTTTCCTGTGTACAGGAGAGCCCCGCTTTACGGCGCTTTGCTTTACGGCGTTTCGATATGCAACGATTGTCAGTTATACCCATTCTTCATTTATTCAGACTTCCTATAATATATTCACTACTCGCTATACACTAAGGACGAACATATTTTAAGGTAAGTAATGTGTGTACCGTATATGCATTTTTTAAGTCTAGCTCTATTGCTCACTTAATATGTAGTTTAAATGTGTTATCAAGCTTTTATATGTATTTGAAAGTGAGGAAAAAAGGCTATATTTTATTTTACAGCAATTTTTAGCTTTACGGCAGTTGACGGAACCTGACCTGACCTGTGTAATTGGGGCCCTTCTATAATTTAAATGTTTTATTGGCATTGTACGGGCAGTAAATGATCTCTGCATTTTGCAGTTCTGATATCCCTCGGTCCTTGAACGGAGACGTCAACATTGAATAACATTCTCAAGGAGAGAGCATAAGTGATTTGAATAGTGTCCCCATTGGCATTATTTCCCCTTGTTTTGAAAGTTCTCATTATCCATCCTGTCATTTTCCTGGCTTTACCTGCTTTTTCTTAGCGTTCTCTAAATGACAGGTCAGCTGACATTGTGAACTTTATTTGTTAAGATCAGTCTTATTGCATTATCTATAATTATGACTAATATAATCAAATAAATGGAGTAATTAGTCTTGCCTAGTATTCGTGTCTTTTAATATAGGGAGCGTGTTGCCATAGTTACCATACTAACATATAGAAGCCTAAAGATGGGATACCTTGTGTAATTTACCATATACATAAGTGAGAGAAGATGGGAGGCAGGGAATCCAAGGGTGTGGTGCATACTCGTGGTGCGAGCCAGTGTTTGTCGAGGAAGCG